TATATATATATATATATATATATATATATATATATAGACATTTTGCATTTAAAATTAAAAAACATTTCTGTCAATTTGTGTTATCCAGAACTCCTCCAGTGGAAACATTTTAGTTTCCCATGGTTTATTTTTGTAAAAAATCCTCTTTAAGGAACATTTTGCTGAATTTGCAAAATAATCATTAGTTGCATCCCTAGATTAAATCCTGCACTTTATTGGGTAACCTCCCTGGTCAAGCGCATCAGTCAATGCAAACCTTCCTCCCAGTAACCACCTAACTCTGTATAATAAGCACACAGGAGGGACCGCATTGACTGATAAAAGTGTTTTAAGCCCCCCAGTATGCCAATATAATATTTTGTGGCTTTGCTCTGTCACATTGACTTCAAATATAACACCTAAGAAATGCCAGTGAACCTCTGGATCTTGCTGCAGCTGATCTTTTGTTTTTACTCCATGTGTGAAACCAGAGCCTGTTAAATAGAGTTGAGGTAGACTCATGTTTCCAATTTACCTTGGACCTACCATTCCAAGACCCTTATAAAATGATATTTATACAACACAGATTGCACTAGCAGGGGGCCGTAAAACTAAGAAAAATTGTTGCAGAAAAAATCCTATTCAGACATATATTATTTATTTATTTATTTATTTTTTTTTTTTGCTCAAAAGTAAGAGTATTAGGCTCAGTTGAATCTTGTACTGCTGTATGCCATACATGGCTAGATTTTGCATCTAGCGGAGATTTGCTGCAGGTATATAATAATGCATTTAATTCTGGTTGTCCTCCTTAGAACAAAACAAAAGCAAATCAAAAAGACAGTTTGAGCGTTCACGTTGGAACTGACGTATAAAACAGATTTTTACCTGACAGCTCATATTGTCAACAACAGTCAAATTATAGGGGTAGTTTCCAAATTATATCTTTGTCCAAACAGGTGCTATGTATTTTCTTCTTTGTAGTTTAATTTGCAGGCAGTCAAAGAATGCATGTTTCTCATGTTTATATGCTCTTGTAGGTCAGCCCCTTAATGGAGGCTAATGCTAGACAATTTCCGTGCCAATCATTTAAGCTATGTGTAGTCTGATACACAAACTGGTATTCCATGCAGATCATGCGTTTTCGACTGTGAGCTTTTTTCCATTTTTTTTTTGTTTTGTATTTTCTTTTTTTTATTTATATATATATATATATACAACTTCTACAAAGTATCCCACTGGCAAGAAGCAGCAAAGTAAAAAAGAATTACTCAATTAAGGATTGTTTCCCCTGCTGTGGGAGTTGATTAAGTCTTGTGCTGGTGAGGCTAAGCCTACAAATCAATTTGCACCACACAATACAGTCTTGGCTCATGCAACTATATGTTCATATCAGCTGAAATAAAACAGACTTTTACATGGTTTGCTATACTTTCTATGGAACATGTTCCCTTTTTGAATGTTTAAAATGTACCTCATCTTTCTAGTAAAGCAGACCTAGCTTTGTTAATATAGTTCTTTTTTGTTTATTTATTGTAGGATTTAAGTTTTTGAAATTTCACATAATTTTCCCTCTTGAATCCACAGTATAATTTTGCTTTGCCTTTTATGTTGTCTTCTAAAGCCACATATTTCTGTTGTCTTTGATTATTTTAGCCATTGTTTAGATTCAACATGCAATTTTCTGCATCTAAATGTTGTGCATTGAACTGTATGAGATTGCACCTCAACTTATCTGCTATAAGATGCAAGTCAAAGAAATGTAGGTCTCTATATTTTTTATTTTTTTGCCAGGTTGTGATTTTGATGTACAAAAACTTGCCTATTTAAACCTCCCTAATTGATAATAATAATAATAATAATAATAATAATAATAATAATAATAATAATAATAATAATAATAATAATAATAATAATAATAATAATAACAATGTTTTTTTCCTTTAAATAGTTTTTTTATTCTTTTTTCTCTTTCCCAAAAGACACAATTCTAGTAAATGGAAAGAAAATTAGTTATTCTACACTGATATTATGAGATTCATTGATCAGATACTAAGCTTACTTCATGTAATACAATTAAGTACTATTAAATAATAACAAATTATTTTTGCTCATTTTAGACCCATATGATGATGACCTGAAAGTGAAGACCCAAAGGCCACGATCAGCTGACCTGCCAGGTGTGTTTCAGGCACAAACAGGTGAGTGTTAGGAGTGTGAGGTAGTGTTTGCATCCAGGATCCAAATGAAGAAGCTTTGACCTCCAAAGGTTCTTTATATGTAATCACAAAGTGGTAAGATTTAAAGAAACCACATATATTTTATGAAAGAAACTGAAAAGCCAAATCATGCAGATATCCTAAATATTTTATAGATGTCATGGAATGCCTTTTAAAAGTCTGTTTAGTTTAGTTAGACTTTAACCAGGGCATCCCTTAAATCTTTCAGTAATTCAGCACTCCTGATTCAAATGATGGTTCATTACAAAACATCTGCAGGAGTGATTTCAAGTATTTAATCAGATATCTTTGAAAAGGTTATCTAAAATATTTAGGAAACTAACTTTCATGAAAATAAATTTGACATTTATTATGTGCACATTTTATTAGGTCCACCTTTGATTCAAGCCTTTTGCAGTTTGTTTTGATCTGAAGCTGCCTGTTGTTCTACTCAACACTTGCTGGAACATGGATTTATATCTTCAGAGTTTCTGCTGAAGAAATGCACCCACATAGTTTTATTTTCATCCTCCTGAGGTGTTTATGTTTTGATTTTTTTCTTCTTTTTTTTTTGGTTTGTGTTATGATTCTTTCCTGGGTATCGTCTTTAGGTTTTTGCCTTTAGCTTATTATTGTAACTTTTTGTAAGTTCATTTAGAATTATTTATGTAAGATCTGTATTAGATTTTTTCCCTTGGTTTTTCTGTGTAACTCAGTTCAGCCTCCTCTGTTAGACTTAGTCTCCCTCCCTCAGCCTTCCTCTCCTTCCGTTAGCTTCTACTGCAACTCACTTTTTTAGGAATGGTGTGATCTGGTTTGATTGCCATTCAACATATTCCCTTACTGTGCCAATTTTTCCTTTCACTGATCTCCTAATGCCTGTATGAAAGTCCTCCGCTTTTTACCTTTAAACTATTTAAACCATTTAAATTTACCACGCTGCCTCCATGGTCCCTATGTTGGGTCAATGGTAGCTCTAGACTAAATTTATCGGAGGGTTGGGTTGGGGCCTTTAATTTTTCATTGGAACAGAAGGATTTGGGAAAAAACAAAAAAAAAATATGAAACAGGCCTAGAATATATTGTGTAATATTAGTGAGCCATAGAGTCGCTCTCAAGCTGAAGGTTGCAGATGAAGACTATGATCTTATCTTAATACGATTGAAACTAACATTTGTCTATTAAATAATATTTAAAGGAAATCCAAAAATATAAAGGAGGAAAAAAGGTCCAATCTGTTATGTCTTTTGATAGCACATTTCATCATGAGAACATGATTTACCGTCATCTCTTCAATAAAAGGGTTATAATAGGGGCCTGGCCCTTGTCTAGAAATACCCTTTATTTTGTCCAGCTCCTGACAAATCTTGACAGTTCAGGGTTACAGTATGTCTAGTTATGTTTTAGTTATGCTAGGTCCAGTTTTTCAAAATTGGTTTTCTTCTGTGAAAATGCCACACTTGGATATTGCAGGGCTAATTTAGTAGTTGACACATTTTTGTGTACCTGACCAGTTAATCTCGGCTACTCTCTGCTACTGAGGAGACTACTTTCTTTGGTAGTAATATAGCCTGTGACAAGTCCAAGTTTTGCGATTTTATCAATTGATAGATGTTGCTCTGAGGCCATCTTCAAGCAGCTGTCTACTTTTTACAAAGGTGTACTATTTACACTTTTAAATGATAACTCAATTATAACTTATAATTAAACACGTATGGGAGAGTGCTGGTGAAGATTCTCAGTCATCCAGGTCAGTCATTCCAAAAAATTAAATTAAAAACAATCCACAGGACTTTGTTTCCAAGTTTGAAGACATTTTGCTTCCCATCCAGGAATCTTCTTCAATTCAAAATGTCAGGAAAAGCGTTGAGTTCGAGGTCAGTGCTTTTGCTGACATTTTTAATTGAAAAAGCTTCCTGGATGGAAAGCGAAATGTATGGGACTTTTTGTGCGCAACCACTCAGTGTTTTATTTATAAAAAATATTTAAAACCATGCATTCCTTTTCTGTCACTTCTAAATTGAGCAGTGATTTTTATTGACCTTTTGGTTTGCTTTCCTATAAAAAAAACCCCACTACATTTGTTATTATTACAAACTGTGGAACATTTTAAGAGGTGTGAATGCTTTTGCAAGGTACATTATATATACAGCATATGTAGATACTGTAATCCTGATATAAAGAGAAGAGATAATGCTTATCCACTTAGATATTCCAATAATTATTTGGGCTTTTGGTTTTACCAAAGCTTTAGCTTTGTTGAGGAGTGAGAGACCTTGGAGACAGAATCACAATGTTTGCGTCTTGTCCTTCTGAGATTCTTTCCCCCTCTTGCTTTTCCTTGCCTCTCCCAACTCTTCCTTTCCTCCAGGCACGTGTGATGAGCTTAAGCCCTGACTCACAGCATGCTAATGAAGATGTAATACGATTAACGGACATGCAATTAATTCGATTTCCTCCTCTGCCATATGATGATGCTCCGATCAAAGGACATTGAGCTCATAAACAGTTTAAAAGGGGGGACATTTTCATTGTGTTCAGTTGTTGATTTCAAGGGCATAACAGAGTAGGAACAATGGGACCCTCGCTACAGCTGCCTGGAGAATTCCAAATCAAGGGCAAGCTTCCTCTCTTCTTTGGGCTCTAATGTTTCTATAAACCCCCGAAGAAATGATATATATTTTTTTTCTATGAACTGATATATGCTTGGCATTCTTTTGACCTGATCATTATCCTTTAGGCTACTTAAACAGGTTCTATTTGCCTAAACAGGATTAAGTTTCAACAGACACCATCTGTTGACTATAATTGTAATTCTAATAGTATGTTTTACATTCACCTACATCAAAAAGAGTTCCAGCCTTAATACTAATGAAGGTGTTGCATCAATCTTTTTCCATTTTTTTTGTCCTAGTAAAAACAATCTGAACCATTTCTTATTTTCTTGTTTTTCTTTTTCTGTATAATCTCTCAGATTTTTAGTTAAATATTAGCTCGTAAAAGCAAGGTCTTTGAATTCAAGTGGCAGCCTACTAGGCAGTGTCAGCCTAGTGGTTAGGGCATAGAGCTTGGAATGCTGAGGTCCTGAGTCCGAGCCCCACTCCGACAGACTGCCACTCTGGGTCCCTGAGAAAGACCCTTAACCCCCGCAGTGGGCTCCCCACAATGGCAGCCCACTGCTCCCCAAGAGGATGGATTAAATGCAGAGGTACATTTCTCCAATGTGAGATCAATAAAGTTCAATCATTATTATTATTATTATCCATCTCATTACTTCCCGCTTGCTCCGTCACCTGTCTCAGGGACACCAAAGCCCAAAATTGGACATATTTTCCCTTTTTCGATGCTGATTACACAGATATGCATTATATCAAAGAAACAGGGGCATTTTGTCGCTTTAGGGTTCTTCTGTGTGATAATTTTTTTTTTTTTTTAAGAAAAATATTTGGAAGTAGTTTAGTCAGATTTGGATAATTGTCTAAAAAAAAGAATTCAGTAACATGACTAAAAATTAGCACAGCCAAAATGAAAAGAACCACTTGTCCAACCCCCTACATCTCCCTCTTTAGGTGATCCAGCGGCAGAGGAGTGGTCACCATGGAGTGTGTGTTCCTTGACGTGTGGGCAGGGCTGGCAAGTGAGGACGCGATCGTGTGTCTCCTCTCCTTATGGCACACTTTGCAGTGGTGCTCTGAGGGAAACACGCATGTGCAACAACACTGTTTCCTGTCCAGGGGAACCTGGAATCATAAGTTCAGGTATGGCAATCAGAATACCTTGATGTACTTCCGATTTTCATAAACAGATTTCCCACACCTTGGTTTTCCCCAAAGTCAAGATTGTTGCAGGCTGGCATTTAAGTACTGCTAGTGCTTAATGTGTTCTGAATTAACTATTTTATAATGATCCAAAATGGATTTACATTTTTGCCTAAATTCATTCATGTCCTTAGTACTTCTTTTTACCGTTTAACTTTTTATTGGTACTTTTCACTTTTTTACATACACAGTGCAGATGAACATTGCACATTCAACTTAATGTAACATAAAACCTGCACTTTGGGAGCTATTCCTCTATTTGACCTTTGTCCCGTCTAGCTTATCTAGTTCTTTATCTTTGTCACTGTCTTTTGTCCTGAATGTTGTCCATCTCCTCCGTTTTTCTTCCATTTGAGTTTGCTGAAGTCTTAAGACGATGTGTCAGTTTTTCCATGATGTAGATTTCTTCTATTATTCCAGTCCATTGTTCTTGACAAGGGGGTCTGCCTGCCCCCCTTGCCTCATAATTGCTTTTTTGGTAGCTATTAACAATATCTTAATCAGATACATGTCTTTTCCCCTTGCTCTGATATTGTTCAAATTGCAAAGATATAGTACCACACTACTCATAGCAATATCATATCCTAGAATCTTCTTCACAGTTTCACGTACATTTTCCAGAATTTAACAATTTTAGGACAGTTCCAAAATATGTGAGAGTGGTCGGCATTCATTGATCCACAATTCCGCCAACAACCCGTGTTTGTATCCTTATATTTATTCTTGATTTTAAGCGTGAAGAAAAATCGTATTAGATTTTTCCATGTGAACTCCCTCCATATCTGTGAATTGGCGGATGTGTGATGTGTTTTCCACAAATCTAACCAATCTTGATCTGAAAATGTCATGTTAAGCTCTGATTCCCACTTATGTCCTTAGTACTTTAAGCTTTGAATGCTCACCAAGGCAGTTTACGAGCAAATAAATAAGATTCCTATTTGAAAACTTACCAGGAAATCTGACCAAATGACTCTTGAAAAGGAAGACTGCAGCTTTTTGACATCTCCATTGATAAAATAAGGCATGAGTTGTAGTACACAGCGCAAAAACTGAAAAAAATTTAATAAAAACGCTTTTCTAAAACCTCTAAAGTCTCCAACCCCTGACAACAACCTTTGGACCTTTTAAATGTCACTCAGTATAGCTTTTTTTTATAAGCCATGAATCCTTCAGTCTTCATATTCCAGGCCTTTATGGATTGACTTGATGAGCCAACATGACTGCAATTTACCAGTTCACATGCAACAATGTTGCCCACACTGATGCATGTGTTGCTACGTGAGTGCATGTAAAGCCAAAACAGCTCTTTTAAGAGAAGACTAAATGAGAAGGTTTATTGGTTTTTAGTTTTTTGACTCACATGCAGAATCACACTGAGAACCAGTGAATTTTAATGTTTTATTTGCAAAACAAGAAGAGTGTGGAAGCGGAGAACTATAGGTTCTAGTCACATGCCTCATTGAAGTCTGTCAGGTGAGGGTGGTTGAGAGGTGAATCTTCTAGGTATTTTTCCTAAAAGTGCTTTATGAGTGGGTGAAAGATTATGTCAAAGATCAACTCCTCTGTTGAGAGATGGCTTTTCTAGTTTAACAAAATGGCTTCCTTAAACCCTTGCTCAAACCATCTTCTTCCTTTACAAGAATATGTGGTTTGTTTAAATTCATGGGCTGCCTCCTTTAAGGACGTGGTCCACCTGAACTGGTTCCTGGACTGGAAGAGTTTTGGCTTTGAATTCAAACAGCTCCCCCCTTCTGTGGCTTTCTCTGCCATACACTCTGTCATGAGTAAAAACTACACTCTTGAGAATACAGAGTGGAACAAAGGTGACGACCACTGGGAACATGAAAAAATAAAAGCTAACATAATGATATAAAAAAGAGTGTAAAGATATAACTAAATCTAAACAATGTAAGTATCAAAAATATATCAGCAAATATCTTATATATAAGAACAAAAAATGCTTAGTTAAGAAAATTGTGCAAATGCAATTAAAAAAATCCTATAAGATTTATAGTCCCCATACTGAAGATATATTCGAATCTGTCCTTAAGTTACAGCCAAACCCATTTACACAGTGACAGTTAGAAACCTTTAGAAAAACTAAACATTACCGCCACATATCTGACTCAATAACCATTAAAACAACAATTGTATTAATTTCACACAGAACTATTCACATACTTGTATTATATTAAACTAAACTTCCAATATTCACCACTTTGGGCACCAAGTACCTTTTTCCTCCGAGCATTGAGCAGCTGGCTTGATTGGTCTCGCAATGAATCCTGGGATAACTAAGGCTACATAGGATACACAGGAGCCGTCCTTTAAAACGGAAAAAGAGAAGGATGCATTTGTCGGCCACATAACGAGCAGGCTTGTAATCAGAGCAGGCCTCGGCGCTGTGCTATGACGTAATTGGCCAATGAATCTGGCCTTCAAGGGACGCATCACAGGAATTCAAATTCGGCTATGGATGTGAAACAATGCTGATGGGGATGTTACAAACACATCAGATCCCCCTAATGAATTAGCAAACCCCCATGTGCCCTCATCTGCCAATCCAGTAGGAGAGATCAAATTCACCTTTTGTTTTTTTTTTCCCCTAACTCTTTGTTTGACCTACATATATTAATCTCTGTCCTCCCCAGCAAAAGGTAGAACCGAAGAAGCCGCTTGGATGAGGGGCTCCAGAAAACTTCACATTCAAGTGAAGTTTGTAACTTGAATGTGAAGTTTTGTACTCCAGAAAACTTCACATTCAAGTTGACTAAACCAAACTTGTTCAAGCAAAAATGCTCTTTCTTACTGGACCAGAAAGTAGCCAACTTTAAGGCATTTTCACATAGTCGCAGCTTCCACAAAGAATACTTCTTCTGACACCACCAAACACCAATTAATTTATTAATTAAATGTTTTTTATCCATCTGCTTATCAGGGCCAAGTAAGATAAAACTGAAAATTATACTATAGTTAGAGACAATTTCTTAGTGTATTTCTAGTTTTTTATATACTGATTGCACATAAAAACAAATGAGATTTGATCGAACAGATTTTACACTAAACAGAGTGGAGTTCAAACACTATTCAGTGCAGTTTTGGCATATTCAGAAAGATAGAGGCTTTTTTTTAAAAACATCTCCAATGGAACTATTCATACTCTGACGTGCATTACTCTTTGCCTCTTATTTTTGCAACAGTACTCTCCTCTTTCACCTTAACTTTTAACTGATTTTGTATCAACCAGTAACAGCTAAAATAGCTGCCTTTGAAAAGACAAGATTGTTGTCAGACTAACTGGCTGAACTTCAGTAATAAGTATGAAACCACACAAATTATAACAGCAGCTTTTTTCTTTGTCTGAGTTTTCGCATAATGCTATCTATTTTAGATACTGTGGCAATAATAATTATTAGATCAACTCTGCCTCGTTTTGACCACCAGAATATTTTTGTCTTTCTTAGATGAAAGGCTGAAGGGTTTCCAGTCTGACAGTTGTTGGATTGGACCAATGCCAGTTGAAACTTTTTGCAAAAAGCACCTTTTGCCTTTGTTTTTAACCTGTCTTCAGGTCTATATGATGATCACATGCAAACATCCTTGTAACCAAAAAGATTGAAGCTACCTAATATATTTGTAAGTGCTTTTAAGAAGCATACTTTTTGTGCAATATTAAAGGTGATTTTTTTTTTTAAGATAGATAATAAAAGTCATGAAAATTGTCTTATTGCAATAAACAACAGTTTCTGAGAGATGTTTGATTTAAAGAAATATATTCTTTTGTTTATTTATTTTGCATTCTAAATGATCAGATAAAAAGCTAAAAACATAATGTCAAGGCCTTTATCAACAAATAGGCCTGCTTCTTAGCAGATCTCTGTAGTCTTGCCTGCAACAAGGGAAAAGTTTATAAGAAACTTGGCTCCAGATATGGCTTGATGGCTAACTTTTCTTCTGAATTGCTTTTTTTCTCCCACTTAATTGGGTTGCATTTTGCAGTATGTCCCTGAAAGAGACTTGGCTTTTAGCTGTTGATTTCACTCCATTTTTTCCAACTTCTCTCTCCAAACCACGTTTTCTTCAGCAGCCCTTTGACTTTCAGAAAAGGTTCCAGCTTCCTTATCCAATAAGAAAAAAATAAAACAGAATGTAACTCTCTAATGTTAAACACAATCATCTTCATGCAGGTCATCTTCTACTGCTTCTTTTAAAATAATTTTTAAGGTTCCATATTTGGTCTTCTCGCCTTTTGAAATTCTCTTTGGGGTCTATTTTCCTGAAGTCTGATGTTTCATTTTATATAGATGACATCAAAGTTTATCAAGTGTTTCATAGATAAAAGAGCTTACTTTACTGGATCTTACTTTATCCAAATGAGAATTGGAGAAAAGTCATTTTGTTTAATAGATCTGACCTGCTGACAGAGTAGAGCGGTGCTTGTGAATCACTGACCTGTTTTGGCTGTATGTCAGTTAGAAATCTTGGTGTGATTTCAGGTTTAATAAACTTGTCAAAACAATCATGCCATATTTTTTTAATTAAAGACAGGACTAACAGAATTGCTTTCTTCATGGGATTGACGTCTATTTGCTATGTACAACTGGTTTCAAATGCAGAGGTCATGAACGTATTACTCTAATTTTGTATTCCATTCAGTTGCTGCCTTTTTTATTTCAGAATTGTTTCAAGTTTTTTTTTTGAATACATCATTGGTCAAGCACCTTAACACCTCAGTATAACTCTACGATGTAAAGACCAAAGTCTCTTACTTCTTCCCAGGACTCAGCCCTTCACTAGGGAGGCAGTGCTTTAGCAGCTTCAGCTGGGCTCTGGAACAGTTTTCCCCTTTCTGTGAGATCTGCTTGTGCTTGAATAGTTTTAAATGTCTCATTTTTTTTAACTAGCTTTTAATTGCATAGCGCATGACCAGTAGTCCTGTT